ATCCACCGCTTCTCCCTTATCCACAAGGCTCGTTATCTTATCAAAGAAAGCTATCAGATTAGTTTGGCATGACTTGTTCTTCACAAACCCATGCTGGCTATTCCCTATCACTTTATTACCTTCCAAGTGTTTGCATATGATTTCCTTAATTACCTGCTCCATTATCTTCCCTGGGACAGACGTTAAACTGACCGGTCTATAATTTCCTGGGTTGTTCTTATTCCCCTTTTTATAGATGGGCACAATATTTGCCCTTTTCCAGTCTTCTGGAATCTCCCCTGTCTGCCATGATTTTTCAAAGATCATAGCTAAAGGCTCAGATACCTCCTCTATCAGCTCCTTGAGTATCCTGGGATGCATTTCATCAGGACCTGGTGACTTGCTGACATCTAACTTTCCTAAGTGATTTTTAACTTGTTCTTTGTGTATCCTATCTTCTAAACTTACCCTCTCTCTGCTTGTATTCACTACGTTAGGCACACCTCCAGACTTCAGACCAGGAATCTTCAAGGTGACATCATTAGTTTGTTGTAGCGTCAAGTGACTTTGTTTGTGACAGCTGCCAACAGCAGTGCGAGTGCTTTCCATGCTGCCCTCTGGATATGCTTCAGGGGTGAAGTGAGCCTACGCCTCAGAGTTCGGGCTAGGTTACGCTCCATGGCCCACTTGGGCCTCAGCCTTTGTGCTGAGGCAGAGAACAGAAGGAAATGGCTCTGTGATGTGAACTCTTGTGCATGAGATACTGGAATAAGCCCCCAGATCTCTCCCATGGTCTGGGTGATGCAAAGGGCTGACTGCGCTTGGATCTGTCCTGTCTGCCCCTGGCTCCACCCCTTCTGGGGCACAGAGCTAACCACCCCCACATGCACCTTGCCCCATGACCCGCACTGGCTGTTCATCCCTGCTGCCCATAGAGCTCCACTTCAGCTGGAAACAGATAAGGGCTGGTCATGCAATCAAGCATGTGCAATCAAGCCCTGTACCCATCCAGAGCTACGTAAGAATTCCCTCCAGGCACATCCGTCTGCAGGCCTGGGAGCTATATTCTGTGAAGTACTTTGGGCCTGGGGATGAAAGGTGCTGTAACACAACAGCTTGCCTTTCGTCCGTCAGAGGCGTTTATTGCAAGACCTTTTAAGTTTATTGGACATGCACACTTAACATCAGTGGCTCTATTTTTATTAAAGTCATCTAGCAGCCGTAGTGATCCAAGGAGGTAAATTCCAGATTCCCAGATAGGGTACTTCAGGGTACTTATCCAGCTGCAAAATTTACATCTGGGTAAGTTTACTGCTCCCTTATGTGTTTGCAGCAACTGATAAATGTATAAGCCTTTATTCCCCTAGGCTACCAGTCTGAGCCTGAGCTCACTCCAGCAGCTTGGTGCTGGTTTAAATTCTTTTACTTTAGTGGAGTCTCTCCCAAGTTCCGCTGGTGTGAGCAAGGGGAGAATCAGATTCTACAGGTCTCCCCTGCCAGCAGAGAGCAGCACTGCTGCACAGTGGTCTATCTACCATACACTGCACGTTTTGAGGACGGGCAAGGGGGCGATGGAACGAGCATTAGCTCCCCAGATTAGCAGGGCAGGTTTGGGACCTGGCTCAGCTCTTGAGATGGAGAATTCTTCACAGAGGCAGCAGCGTGGAGTGGCAGGGAGCTCTCCGGCAGTGGGGCTGGGAGTGCACTGGCTGCCACCTTGCAGCCGGGAACTATCGAATAGTCATGTAACTGCTAAGATTTCATGCTGTTACCTGATCCTGCTCCCCGCAGAGGCTGCAGTGCGGGGGGTAGCAGCCCCTGTCTGCGGGGAGCTCGGCCCCCTCTGCGGACAGGGGCTGCTGCTGCAAAGCAGCTCTGCCTGCGGTGGGCCCAGGCTGCTGTGGACAGAGGCTGTCTGTCAGTGGAGTGGTTGAGCCTGCCGGGGACAGAAGCTGTGTAGCAGCAGCCTCCCTTACTCCCCTCACCCTACCACTGCTGCCTCTGGGGGAGGAGGGCCGGCAGCACCATGGAGCTGATCCAGAGGCAGCAAGGGGGGCAGAAGTGCATGCAGTTGACAGATTATTGGTTAATCATATAGTTGACTACACATTGACGTCCCTACTACTTTCCTGTCTTCCTGTCAGATGCCTCTGTGAAGAATTCTCCATCTAGAGAGCTGAGCCAGGTCCCAAACGTGCCTTGCTTTGCAGCAGCAGCCCCTGTCCGCAGAGGGGGCCGAGCTCCCCGCGGACAGGGGCCGCTACCCCCCACACTGCAGCTTTTCTGGGAAGCTGGATCCGGCAACTGACTAGTCATGCGACAGCATGAAACCTTAGCTGTTACACGACTATGTGATAGTCCCCGGCTATCAAACAGTTCTTGCGCAAGTAGCTGCCAGTGTAGACGTAGCCCTGATGTACTATATGTATTTTATGACTTTAAATCAAACTTTGTACTTTTGGATAATTTCAATATTATGACCAGATACATAGAAGCTGTTTCTTTAACTTGTGTATTAGATTCTTTTAACACCTGGACATCTTGCTTTAGACATGTTTTTGATGCTTTGTTTGGAGGTTCAGAAACCCAAGTCTGTCTTGTAACTGCTTATTTTGGAATATGACTCTAATGAATGCATATGGGAGCCATGGGCCTGGCACCCAGGGTATGTCTACTCTGCAGAGTTTTTCCGGAAAAACTGTCGTTTTTCCGGAAAACTAACACTTATGTCCACACTGCAATAGCATTCTTTCGACAGAAAGTGGAACCACAGGGGTTTTTCCAACAGCAGTAAACCTCTTTCTACAAGAAGCCTTTTTCCAAAAGAGCTCTTTCAGAAAAAGGCGTGTGTGGATGGGGAAGTGGGGGGGGGGGGGTTGGAAGAAGAGGAAGCACAGGTGCCCTGGTGGACATTCCGTTCACAGTAGCCTCGACAGAAATGCGAGATAGCGTCTAATCAGTGTGGACGCCATCTTTCAAAACTAGCTTTCCAAAAAGCAGATTGCTTTTGCTGTGTGGACGCTCTCTTTTGGAAGAAGTTTTTTTGGACGATCTCTTCGGGAAAAGCTTCTTCCGAAAGAAGTCTGCAGTCTAGACATAGTCTAAGTGTGACGGCCACCCCTCTTCGTGGCCAACATGCCAGGGACCGAGCAAGGGGATGCCAGTACTAAATCATGAACTGCTCCAGCTTGAGTCAAAGCAGAAGTGCCTTAAAGGCCTCCCTTTGCCTTCAGTGGGCTCTGAATCAGGCACTGAAGAGCCATTCCCTGGGAGGCACCCTCATGGGGTGGAGGGAGATAGCTGTCTCAGGCCCATCAACTAGACCTTCCGGGTAAACGGCATCCTAAGCCCCACTCCTCAGCATTTCCTTCCTGGCTAGCTCCTGCTTCTGAAAATCCCCTCCTTCAGCACTTAGCTCTCCCCACCCATCACACTGGGAGCCTGAACACCTAGCTTGGGGCTGAAAAGCTGAGGGACACGAGGCCTCAGATCCCGGATCGAGATCCTCCCCTGCCCCCGAGCCACCACATCTACACTATGTTTTTTAACATCAAAGCACCCACTCCATGAGCCCGACTCCATCAACCCGGACTCGGAGGTTGGTCCCCATGGACTGCGTACATAGGGCACCAACTCTGGGGGTGCTCTGGGGCTGAAGCACCGGCAACCAAACTCCCCTTCTGCTCCCCTCTCCTCAGCGCCTCTTGCCTGCCAATGGCCCTGCTAACCAACTCCTCCCCCACCCTCCCTGAACCTCCCACCACCAGCAAAAGAGCTGCTTGGTGGCATTTGGGACACTCTGGGAGAGAGGGAGTAGTGTGCTGAGGGGAGTGGGCAGGTACTTGGTGGAGGGAGTAGAATGGGGGCAGGGGCTCAGGAGAGGGGTGCAGTGGGGGCAAGGCAGCAGCTGAGGGGAGAGAGGTTGAACAGCCTCCAGCTGAAAGGAAGTTGGAGCCTATGGCAGTGTAGACATTCCCACAGGAGTCAGGCACTGCAGTGCTGAATAGAGCAATGCCCTAGTACCTCTAAACACCTGGGCTGAGTCCCGGAAGGCACCTCACCCACTCCTGCATGCTGGCAACCAATAACCACCACCTACCTCTCCTGCAATGATCCAGCTGAAACCAATCCATTTCCAGAGTTAATTAAGACTTGTCCGGTTTATTTAATCCTCTCCCAGCTGAAGCCCTTCAAGCAGATTCTGCGGATGAATCACTCACCCTGACAACTTTTCCATTACTTTGATGGCTTGTTATTTCAGTGCTGGCATTGCCAATACCTAAAAGATTCCTGTGAGATCCACTGACTCACAGCTGCTGAGGCGAGCACTAACGTCTCCTTGTTTAATTACTGCTGCACTCCTTTTAGAATAGCCTGATGTGCCAAGAAGCTGTTCAAGGCGCATGCATGTGCAGCTCATACTTCACACTCAGCGTGAGCACCAAAGAGAGAAAAGACGCCTACAGCTCTCAGCCACTCCAGACAACTCAAATTCCCGAGAGGGGTACAGTAGTCCTTTGTATCCCAAGTTTCACTGCACTTAAAAATGACTTGCTTACAAAAGCCGACATAAAAATACAAAAAAGTGTCACGGTGCTGAAAAATTGCCGGCTCTCTCATTTTTTCCATACAATTATAAATCAACTGGAACATAAATAGCGTGCTTCCAGTTCAGTGTATATTGGAGAGAGCAGTATAAACCAGTCATTGTCTTTATGAAGTTTTAGTTTGTAATGACTTTGCTAGTGCTTTTTATACAGTCTGTTGTAAAAGCAGGCAAATATCTTGCTGCGTTGATGTGCCCAGACTAAAAGACCTCTGCGTTGTAGGGGCATGGGAAGGAGAGAGTAGAGGTGTGTTCAGAGCATGTAGTGATTCTAATGGACATTGGGAGCATAATATCTTTGTAGAGCTGGGCCTGGAAGCTCAGTGATGAGGTAGAAAGTTAACAACTTAATTTATTTTAACGAGATTTGGACTGAACTGCACAAGCCAAAGGGATATAAGGCCGTGTCATCGCCCTTTTCCAAGGGGGACCTGGAGCGCAGCGACGCTGAGACTGAGACTTGCCTAAGAGCATACAGGAAGTCGTTGGCAGAGCTGTTTGCCTCCCCCACCGCTGAAATGTAGCTGTTGAAGTAGGTAGAGCTTCAGTGCCGACTCCTTGGAGCAGGGAAGTGAGACAGGGAACGTGCTGATCTGATACATTAATTACCCTGTGCGCCTTGCTGGTGTTTTTCACTTGGAAATTAGGTGTTTCAGAAACACTCATTTATTAGTGAAGAGGTTTTCTTGGTAGCAAATAGGGGAAGAAGCATATTGCTTGCAAATCCCATCCATGTGTTGGTCATATACATAACTTGTTCCTGACGGAATTATCTCCAGTGAGTGTTTACTAGAAACAGTCTCAGCCTGACCACAGGTGATAACTGGATGAAAGGGCATGTAGTCTTGGCTCCTATGCTGAGATTTGAGCTTTGTCTCATCAGTAAGTAGTGCACGTAGTCTTGGCTCCTATGCTGAAATTTGAGCTTTGTCTCATCAGTAAGTAGACCTTTGCAGTCAGTGTGTTGATTCTAAATCAGCAAGACAAACTTTGTTCTGTTAAATGAAGGTACATTTATTTCCATGAGTGGGGGGCACAGGGAGAAAATGGATAAATTGTCCTGCCCTAGAAAATCAATACAAGATAATTGCAGATTCAAAGCACAAAACAATATGAAATCCAGAAAATTACATAGTTTATTATTACCAAATATTTCCAGCTCATATTTTTAATATTTATGGAGTGTGTCTAATTATCCAACTTCATTTTTGTTAGTAGCGTTATGTATCCTGTCTTATGGGCCTGGCAGTGCATAGTCACTTTTGAAAATGCAAATAATGTCCATCCTGGTTGCCTTCTAAATGTTTAATGAATTGACTAGAATGAGAGCTAGTGTGCACAGCTTATAAACACTGTAATGGTGACTCTTAGGTTGGCTGTGCAGTCTGCATAAACTAAAGAGGAGCAACCTAGCAATTGCTGTTATGGCTCTTAGGTCACATACTTCTGGCACCTTTATTAAATCGTCTGCAATCTTCCAATTTAGTTAAAATGTGAAGAAATATTGGGTTTATGTTATAGATGGAATAAGAGTACTTATGACTTGCACATAGGGTTCAGCTCATGACTGATATTTTAATAGGAATTAATGGCATGTTGATTTGTGTCCTTTATTTGCATCAAGAGTACAAAGAGATCTATACGAGTGGGTGAAATCTGGACCCATGTAGGCCTTCAACCAAGACAGATTCAAACAAAGTTTGCAGTTTTGCAGTAGTGCATCCGATTTCGGTTACTCAGCTCAGTCCATTGCTTCCAAGGCAGGCAAAGCAATAGATGCAGTTTGCATCCACTGAAAGTAGAGTGACACCGTGCCCTGTGCTGTTTTGGGAAACAACTCTTTGCTAACCAACATATATTGTGGCAGCAATTGGCTGTAGAGGAAGTCCTCTGAGGGGTGGATGATTATCACAAGGAAAGTTAGACAATACATATACACCTGGCAGAGGAAAATCCAAGTTTTCCCTGACCGGCCATACATCTCAGCTTGCTAATTTGTACCCTTTTTACTCTTATGAAACTGTCATCTGACACCTTGAAAAATCCATTGTATCTCAGTGTGAGCAGGCACAGGTGTGTTTGGCTCTAATTGCCATGTAACAGTGTGAGTAACTACAGTACTGTTTGTACAAAATAATATTGTCAATATCTCATTAGCTGACCCCCCTGGTGCTGCCTTTATTGAAAAGTAGGTTTGCTATTTTTGCCAATACATTAATTTCTTGTTTCTAAACCCTTTTATCTTGTCACTAGGCCAGTGTGAGCAGGCACAGGTGTGTTTGGCTCTAATTGCCATGTAACAGTGTGAGTAACTACAGTACTGTTTGTACAAAATAATATTGTCAATATCTCATTAGCTGACCCCCCTGGTGCTGCCTTTATTGAAAAGTAGGTTTGCTATTTTTGCCAATACATTAATTTCTTGTTTCTAAACCCTTTTATCTTGTCACTAGGCCGCTCTTTGGAGTTTATTGCACTCGATTAGGGATCGTTTCTCAGAATCAAGGAGTTAGAAGTGAGATTTGAGATAAGTGAGGCCCATCCAGTGCTGCTTGGGACGCCTCAGAAGGGAAAATGGAGTTTTCAGGAATGAAAAAGAAGAGTGTGCTAGGATTCAAAGAAAATAATAAAAAATCCAGCACTAGGTAATAATTCTGTCTGCATTTTCTAGGCCTAACCCCTCTGGGGACATGTAGGATACTAGGGTGTTTTCAGCGAGGATGCGGAATTGGAAATATAGCTCTCGTCTCACAATGAGAATTTTCTTAAGTTACAACTTTGACTTTCTTCCTTAGCATTTCTGTGGCATGAAATTTTGTGATCTGTGTTTGTTTTAATAATAATAAAAAATCCTAGAGCTCTACCCCTGCAATAATGGTTGTCCTAAGGTGGGTTAAAGTTCCTTGTGTTGTTTTGTTTAAGGTGAAATAATTTCTTTTGACTTTTATTCTTAAAGGGCTCCCTCTCCAACCAAGCGCAAAGATCGGACGGAAGACAAATCCAAGGACAGGTCCAAGGATAAAGTGTCCACCAAGGAATCAAGTGAAAAGGATCGAGGTCGGGACAAAACACGCAAAAGGCGCAGCGCTTCCACTGGTAGCAGCAGTACCAGGTAATCAGGGTTTCTCTAGAGTAGGGGTGGCCAACCTGAGCCTGCGAAGGAACCAGCATTTACCATTGTACATTGCCAAAGAGCCACAGTAATATGTAATGATAATCGTGTGTATAGTCACACCTTTAATTATCAATGCATAATATACATTATCAAACTATATAATGCATAGTTAACGATAATAACTTGTCTCGATCTCTTACTTATTAGGCCTTCTGACAGTCGTAGCTTTCAACATTTCCCTTGGAGTTTGGTTTGTGTTCAGTTGTGCTCACATGCATCAGTCCTCTCAAATGGCTCTGTCAAAACGGATCAATGTTTGGATTTCACGTGTTTGAGTGGTGAGAAAACAGATTCACAAATGTAGGTTGAGACAAACATTGAGATTATTTTTAGGGTTGCCCTTCTGATGTTGGGGTATTTATCCTTTGGTACAGATTTCCAGAAGGTAAGGGTCCCTCCCCTCTGTCTTTTGAAAGAAGACAGATGGAAATCTGTTCAGAAGTTCTGTTGTTTCTATCTGGAATGTTGCTTTGTCAGTGACTAAAGGGGACTTAGGACAGTCAGTTTCAGCACTAAAAGGGTCAATCAGAAATCTGATTTGCAGTCTTCTCCACTGTACATCTTGGAATTTTTCCTCAAAACTATCCTTAAAATCTTTGATCACGGTCACAAATCAAGTTGTTTTTAGGGGATCTGCTGCATCTTCTTGTGATGTAGTTTGAAGTGGTGACATTGAGGGAAAGTGTGTCAACCCTCCCTCAAGTAGTTGTCTGCAAAATAACTGCAGAATGTAAATTTGCTTGCACTAGATCAGACAGCAACTGGAATTTTTGTTGTAATTCCACATTTAATTTGTCCAAATGCAGCAGCATGTCTGCAAGAAATGCCAGATCTAGAACCCACCTGTGATCTGTAAGGTCTAGGGTGTATTCTTTACTTCTCCATAAACAATTTTACTAGTTCCAGGAGCAAAAAAACCCAGGAAATAATCTTTAATTTCTCTCAAGAGCCATAGAATTGTGCAATGAAATGACATCAGCAGGGATATCATTATCCATTTCTTCAATTAGATTTTAAAATTGTCTGAGTGCATTTAAGTGAATGAAATTCAAAATGTGCAAGACAAGTTTCATAACTTGATCAAGTTTAAGATTTTTAGAGTCCAGTTGCTCCTATGAATAATACAGTGAAATGTACAAAATTTGGGAAAGCTCTTGTCAGACACAAAACCGTATTACAGGTTGAACCTCTCTGGTCCTTTGCTCTGCGGTCCAGCAACGTCCATGGTCTGGCATGATTTTAGTCATACGTCCACATATCATGAGTGGCCAGGTTTCCTGCAGTTCCATAAAGTTTGTGTACAGCCACCAGTCCTGGCTCCCAGTGTTCTGTGCTGCTGTTTAGCTCCAATTTACCCCTCAATGTCTTCTCAGAGCCCAGTGAGCAGTGGAAGGTGCTGATAATGCTGCTAGACAATATTGCAAATTCTCTGGTTCAACACTGGTCAGGTCCTGAGGGTGCTGGACTAGAGAGGTTGAACCTGTAATCCATTCACTGATCCCTCATGTGGATGGAGCCTCATCCGTTGCAATGGCAGTGAGCTGCTGTAAAGGGAAGTGGTGTTTTGACCTCTTGTCCACAAGTTCTGTCCTTTAGTGGCGCAGTATCGAGGAGTTTTTCCCATACAGCAGTTGGACACGTTGGGGGGACATACTGATAATTCAGTTTTATTGTGTACAGTGCACGGCTCATTCAAAGTGATGCTTAAATACTCCCACTGCTAAAGACTGTCCAGCTCGGCGTTTCTGTATTGTGTTGTGTAACATGAAAGCTTCAGGCCAGAAACTTTCTTCTGTTGATTCTTGTTTTCTGGTAGCAGGATTGAAATCACATCAGAGGGGCATATTTTTATAAACTCATCTTCAGAGTATGGCCAGGCATAAGCTGAGAGTCAGGCCCCATAACAGAAGACTAATGTTACAGTCTGTAGTCGGTTGGTAAATCTGGTGAGGAAGTGGGCTTCTTTGTCTGTCTGGTTTTTTTCAGTTTTCAATTAGAAGTTAAGAGCCTTTTCGGAATTTTCGCTATATGTGTATGGCTAGAAGCAAAATGAGTTAGGAGTTAAGAGCCTTTGGGGAATTTTCGCTATATGTGTATGGCTAGAAGCAAAATGATGCTGCAGGTTTGAGGACTTGAACTGAGATACTCATATCCAGCAGAGATGCACGTACCCTTACCAGTCCGTGAAAAGAAAAAGTAGTCATTCTCCCACTCCAGGTGGAAGCCTCAATTTTAATCTGGTGCATTTTCTTTCCATTGTTAGGTGGCGTAAGAAAAAAATTGATTAAAAATGTCAACACCAGCTAGTCACTGTGTCCTTTTATTCAAGGAGACACAGGTGCTGGCCAGGCAATACTGGAGCCCTAGTTCACCTCTAGCCCAGCCCCCACTCCACCCTTTCACCAAGGCTCCATCCTCACCTCTTTCTGCTCACCTCCCCTGAGTGAGCCATGTCCTGGATCCTGCCTCTCCCAGAGCCTCCTATCTGCAAAACAGCTGATTGCAGGGTTCTCATTCCTTTCTCAATGCCTCTTATCCACCATAATCAGCTATTTCATGTTGAGGGGGGAGGGAGGTAGGGAAGGAAGGGGATTGAGTGCTCCTTCCCCACGAGAACCTTCTCAAAGTGCCAAAACAGCTGATGGCAGAAACAGCTGACCACAGTGGGCAGCAGGCTTGGGGAAGGAGGGAGAGCTGCTGATAGGGTGGGGGTGGCCAGTGGGTGGGAGCCACTGGGGGAGGCAGCAGAGGTAGGAGCTAGAAGGGCTGCCTGTGAGTGCTGAGAACTTGCCATTTTCCCCCCAAAGTTGGTTCCTGACAGGAGGCACATAATACCTTTTGACGAGCCACATGCAGCTCCAGAGTAGCCAGTTGGTTGTCCTACATCTAGTGCTTTGCAGTGATAACCCAAGTAGTAGGGAGTTGTGCTCCTGTACAAATGCTACAAATCTGCTTTGTGGTTCCCCACATTAGAAGCCTCCGTGGCTGGGATTGTGATGCTAAAAGGTGGTCCTCTTGCTGTATCAGTAGGTATGCTTTGTATAGTCACTTCAACCACCAGTTCTTGTTTTGTACTTCCCTGGAGATAGGGGAGAGGATAGCTGCATCCCATGTTTTCTGCACTGATTCCCCTCTTGCCCCAAAGGTCCCGCTCCAGCTCCACTTCCAGTTCAGGGTCCAGCTCCAGCACTGGATCCAGCAGTGGCTCCAGCTCCTCCTCTGCATCAAGCCGCTCTGGAAGCTCCAGCACCTCTCGTAGCTCCAGTTCCAGCAGTTCCTCTGGATCCCCAAGCCCCTCTCGACGCAGACATGACAACAGGAGACGTTCCCGCTCCAAGTGAGTTTGATTCAACCACTTAAATTATCAGGTGGCTGGGAATTTGCCTTGAAGTGTGTAAACGTGTGAACAGAGCAGTAACCCCTGTTTTAAAACAGTTTTATTCATATCCCAGAGAGAGAATCTAGCTATTTGAGCATGGATGCCCCCTACACTTGTAGCCTAACTACCTGTTCTTCAGGAAGGAGTTTAAAGATTTCATTCATTCATAACTGGCTTTGGGGGATTTCCAAAAGGCAGAGCATGTACGAGTATTTCTCTACATCCTCTGGGACTTGTAGCCAGAGCCAGTGGAGCAGCATGGATTGAAACTGGGAAAATCGCAAGGATCCTGTGTTTTCTTGAAGGTAGAAGTTGAACTGAGTAGAATCTGCTTCTTTGTTTCTCTAGAATTCTTCACTTTGGGTACAAATATGAAAATAGTGCTGTGAATACAGTCCCAGAATCATAGCTACCTATGAAATCCTCTAGTCCAGTTCATTCTGAGTACAGAGCTGATCTCCCACCAAGGAGGGTCTGTACTGAACAATTGTTTGGAGCCAGTTTGGCTTTTTCCTGCACAGAGGAAACAATAGAGGGACAGTATTTCATATACTCCCATAGATGTGGCGGCTGGGAAGGGTTGGAAATAAATCGCAAAAGTATGAAAGTTTGGGGTCTGTACAGAAGGCCTCATGTATGTCAGGTACTCTGCCTCTCCCACTCAGTCTGTTGTAATCAGTGTAGTGCTTTTGGTGGTCTAGTGATATTTCCCTTAGGCCATCCTCAGAGCTTATTTGTTTGTATTGGAACAGTGCAAAAAGCCCCAAGCGGGTATTAGGGTTGATCTGATCGATCTAATGGCACTTGATTTATCAGATTGACTGCCAGTCACTCATGCATCAGCTCAGTACTCTGCCAGAACAAGCAGCACAAAGGGGAGTTGATGGGAGAGCGTCTCCCATCAGCACACTGCAGTAAGTAGATCTAAGCATGTCAGTTCCAGCTCTATTACTCCAGTAGCTGAAGCTGTGTAATTAGATTGAATATCCACCATAGTGTAGACCAGCCCTTGCACACTGTATGCACGTGTATCAGAAGTTATGGTTCCTACATAACACACCATTTATGGCTTTGATCCTGCAAATGGGAGTAATTACAATAGCTAAGTTAATTTTGTGTCAGTGTTTACAGGGATGTAAGTAATTTTCAGTGTGTTTCAATCTTTGCAGCGACTGAGTAATTGTAGAGGTGGAAACAACTGGCTTTCCACATTAGCAGGTTAAGAGGATGGGTTAGGCTTTTGATGTCTAGGAAGTGACTGCTAGTTTTGACTATGAACCCAGCAAGATCCCAGTCCCTCTCAAGTTACTATATGAGAACCACTGTACACATGCTCTAGACCCCAAAAGCTCCTCCAACTAAACCAGAGAAAAACAGACTTGACATTCAGGATATATCTATATTAAAGGGGTTTTGCCTATTTTTAAGCTCCCCACTGCTGCAGATTTTGAGACTTCATTAGTCACAGAGGCAAAACAAGATACAAATCCAATTCAGAAAAGATACTTCACAAGTCATGTTCTGTGGTATGGGGATTGGCTTGTAAGTTACTAGGGGATTTGATAGTTCTGTGATATTCAACTCAGGTCTAAGCCACCCAAGAGAGATGAAAAAGAAAGAAAGAGACGGAGTCCATCACCCAGACCTACAAAAGTGCACGTTGGGAGACTCACCAGAAATGTGACCAAGGTAATGGCCTGCCCTGGTATAGTCTTGAACTTTCACATCTTTGGAAGAGTGATTGAATTTTTTAAATAGTATCTTTAGAAACGTGTTTATTACTAGGCTGCAACTAAGTTTTGGAAGTTGTTGCATTATCTATATGCAAGGTTGAGGCAAGTGTCTCTGTTTTGGAAGTTGTTGCATTATCTATATGCAAGGTTGAGGTGCATTGGCAGACCTGTGTGTAAGGAAACTTGTGTGTCACTTGATCATTTTCTACATGGCTGAAGCCAAGATACCAGGGGATGATTCTCAAAAAGACATGTATGCCGTGTCCTAGATCTAATGCCCCCTGCTCTTAAGCAGGAGATTTGGATTTAAACCCTAGACTTGGTTTCCTGCTTCTCTAGCAGGGTGTTTTGTGGCTTACATTTGTCTTGGTCGGTAGAGCTGACCCCTATGTTGAAAATCACAACTGGAGGCCAGCTGAGAATGTCTTTGATTGATCTGCAGAAAGTGGTCCTCAATTCTGTCCTCCTTGCCAGTCCCTTTCAGGCCTTTGTAGAGGAAGCATGTAACTATATGATGCTATCTAAGTGATTGTAACTGTAAGCAGGAGAAATTGCGTCTGTTGCCTTGAGTGTTTGCCCCCCAGGCAGCCCCTCTCTTCTCCATTTCCCACACAAACTTCAGATTTCATGAACTGTTCAGGACTGAAAGATAAGCCAAGATCCTCTGGCCCTTATTTTGAGGTGGGTAGTGAGTAGACCTCTATCTAGGGCAGGGGTGGGCACAAGGGCCCAGATTCGGCCTGCCAAGCGGGTGGAGTAACCACACCCTTTCCGGTTTAAGCCCTGCCCCTTCCGGGGTGGCCCGGGACTACTTCAGAAATTTGTGAAGTGGCCCCCAGGCAAAAATTATTGCCCACCCCTGATCTAGGTCTTGGGAATCCTGAGGCAGCCATCGCAGGCTGGTGGGAATTCAAATGATATTCATATCCAGGACTCAACAGTCTATTGAATCTACTCGCCTGTGGCGAGTAGATTTCAGCCCGGCGCCCCGTTTACCAGCAGCACGCGCATGCACAATGCGGCTCTTGCGCAGTGCAGGGCTGACAAGCGGCTTTCGCCGCGGTTCATCAAGCCATGTTCCAATCGTTAATAAGATTGGCTTCCTTGATGTTGGTATTGATTTTTGATCTTGTATTGGGTATGCCTCCAATTTAGCATTCCTAGCAATACCATCTGGTAATGTTGGAATTGGCACGATCTTAATAATCACTGTTTCTCTCCAGGATCACATCATGGAAATATTTTCCACTTATGGGAAAATTAAAATGATTGACATGCCAGTCGACAGGCTAAATCCACACCTCTCCAAGGGTTATGCCTATGTAGAGTTTGAGAATCCAGATGATGCTGAGAAGGCACTGAAACACATGGATGGAGGTAGGGACTGGATGTTGTGCAAAGAAGCTAGCAGGGCCAATAGGAATCCATAGAGGGTGGTAGGAGGGTTGATACAAAGGATCATTGACCCTGAGTTGCCCGGCAAACCTTTGTCACTTTACAAAACTTTTGTGTGTCTGTTGCTGGGTGACAGACTCTCACAAACTGTGAAATTGATCGTACGGGGAAACAGCTAAACTGACCTAGAAAGCACTGTCTCAAAATCAATTGCCCCCCAATTCTAAACTGTCCATGTTTTTAATCAGAAGTGATTTTTAAGTTGACTGTAAATGAAATTTGCTCAAGGCGAGATGGTGAGCAAATTAGAAGCAAATTTTGGAAAAGAAAAGAGGTCTCTTGATTCTTACTCCTAACCACTAGATCACAAATGCACCAAAGATACCAAAGCAACAGCCTTGTGAGGATGGAAGTCTGTAGCTGGTACAATTGTACTGTGTGTTGTAGGGATCTCATTGTGTAGTTGGTTACACGATTAACCAATTAGCCTGGGCTTATCGCTTAATCCTAATGACTACACCTCCCCCCTTGCTGCCTCTTTATCAGAAGGGGAAGAGTAGGCGGGAGCCCTCCTTTAAGCTAGCTGTGTGTTAAAGGTGTAAACATTACAAATTCCAACAGTCGCACACTTATACCAATACCCTCTAGTCAACATCCCCAGTGAGTAGCACACTGGTCCTGGAAATGTGTAGCTCATACTTTGCCTTTTAATTATAAACAGGGCAGATTGATGGTCAGGAGATCACTGCTACAGCTGTGCTGGCACCTCGGCCTAGGCCGCCGCCCAGGCGCTTTAGCCCCCCAAGGAGAATGCTGCCACCGCCGCCAATGTGGCGTAGGTCGCCCCCTCGCATGAGGAGAAGGTGAGCCATAGTTTGTAGAAGCGTGTAAGTAAATGGGTTTGGTAATGTTTAATTTGTGGCACCAAGCATCTTGTGCATTGCACAGATTTCATCACTGGAAACTTCCCCTCCGTGGTCTTGATGTCAGCAAGCCGTATTAAACCTGGAGACTGATCGTCTTCACTCCCGGGCTAGGAAACACACACTCTTAAAGATCTGTTAGAAGCTGCTTTTACCACTCGGAGGGCGCCCAATTGGTGATCTTCACTGGGTCCTGCTCAGAACAGCTTGTGAAGTCGAGGGCTTGTCTACATTATTACGGGACGTGGATTTGAATTACATCACTGAGGGGGCAGACCTCAGGGCATCTTTTCACAATGTCCTCACTGCGGCGTGTCATCAGGAGAGCATGAAGACTCCTCTTGTGCTTCTCATTCTGTTGGAATACTGGAGTTGACGCAAGCGTGAGCAGCGGTTGGTCTTGGCTCAATAGATGGACCCCTCGCCCCAGATCAGTCGCTACCTGCGGATCCAGGCAGTAGTGTATGCACACCCTGAGAGGCTTAGAGAGCTTAGTTAATATAAGATGCACGGCACATCTGCCATCCACCAAACTCTGCTCACGTATGTCCCTTGGATTTGAGCACTTGTTTTTCCCTCCTTCCTTTAATCTCCATCCTTCCCTAGTCTTTGGACAGTAGAACTTCGAAGTTATTTTTCCCTCCTTCCTTTAATCTCCGTCCTTCCCTAATCTTTGGACAGTAGAACTTCGAAGTTATGAGCTGACTAGTTAGCTACTTACCTCATTTGGAGCCGGAAGGACAGTCAGGCAGCAGCTGACCCAAAAAACCAAACCAAACAATCCCCCCCTCCCACCAAATACTGTTCTGTTTTAAAAATAAACTATTAAAAGGGGAAAGCTGCATTTTTCTTCACGTAATACAAATTTGAAACTTTAGTATGGAGTTGGGATTCTGGAGAGTGATGATACAAACCTTTTCTCTACATCCCAAAGTGAGCTGTCTGTTGTCTTGCCCTGGGAGCAGAGACCTGCTCGAGCTGAGTTGGACTTCATTCGTACCTCCATTGCTTTCCAATGTGTTAGACGCCCCTTATGCTCTTAGCATGTAAAGTTAGAATAAACGGCTTGTCCCCACTGCCAGTGGGATCACTGCTGCAGTCTGAAGACCACTAAATCGACTTTTGATTGCACTCCCATTGACTCTGGTACTCCATTGGCACAAAAAGAGTAAGGGGAGTCAGCAGGAGACCAGCATGGTGTGGACCCCACAGTAAGTAGACCTAAGCTACGTCGACTTGAGTTACGCTGGCAGCTTCGACTTTTCCCCGTAGTGTAGTCCTGTCCTAACGTTCTTCTTTAAATGGTCTCTCTGATATCCTTATCAGCTGTACAGAACAAGAAGGGCTATACAAAGTGGTCTATAAAATATGATGATTAAGGGGTGAACAGAGGATGCTAGCTAATATGTTGCCATCCTGAGCTTCAAGCACAATATGGTGATTGAGGGGTGAACAGAGGACGCTAGCTAATATGTTGCCATCCTGAGCTTCAAGCACAGCTGCATTTTGGAATGTCTCGTTAAGTTTTAGTGAATCCTAAAGAATAAAAACCCTTTATCCTTTTTTCTTCAAGTGCTTGCTCATGTTCATTCTATGTCAGGTGTGCACGTGCCATGTGATTTGTTGTTGGAGATTCCCCTCAGGGGTATTTGTAAGGGTGGAGGACCTCATGCACCAGTAGACGAGTCACCTTTGAGTTCCTACTTACTGCCCATGGTGGTTTCTGGAACAGTTTTGCTTCAGCACCTCCCTTTTCCTATCCCCCTTCAAGGTCTGACCCTGTATGGGTGTTCTTATGGTTATCTTGTTTTGTGCTTCCCATTAGATGCAAATATTGGTCCTATGGTGTCAATTAATATTACTGGCTTCTATCTGTACTTTAGTCTCTGTCCCTCTTTCTGTATAAGGGAGAACCTCTCTGAAGTTACAATATGCTGGCAGTTTTGCAATATGGTAAAGAAAAATGAGCCAAGTTTAATGCTCTGTGCCAGAGGGGCTGTGGTGCTGGAGTACCTAGACTCCATGAATTCGTAGGTTCAATACCAGTAAGCTCAACTTAAGTCTTTGATTATCTGTGAAATATAAAGAGAGCAAAGTGCTCTTTGCATCACCCAAGCAAAGTCTTTTAGGTGAGAATTTAAAAGAACAAAATCCAGTTTGTTCTGTGGTGACTTGTCATGGTCAAAATATTCCCTCTTGCTGAGTTGTGTGCTCTTGAGCTGCCACCTTCCACCCCAGAGATGGATGCATTTCACTAGAGCTCTTTGTATACAATGTTTTGGGATCCTTCTGGATAAAAGACACTAGACGTGTATCAAATCACTTAAGCCTGTTGTCCTTGTCTCCTAATGAGGCTTTTCTCCTCCTTTCTCTGGCAGGTCCAGGTCACCAAGACGCAGATCCCCTGTTCGCCGACGGTCACGATCTAGATCTCCAGGCCGAAGACGTCATCGCAGCCGCTCCAGCTCCAACTCTTCACGATAAAGCAAAAAAAGACTGGACAGCTTTTTATTTTTTAACTTAAATCCCACCAGACTAAATAGTGTACCTTTTTATATTGGGCAGGGGGAAGGGAGAGGAAATTGAATCCTAGCAATGGAAGCAAATGGAAAGGAGAGGGTTTCCTGGCTAGTGGGCAATTTATGCCTTGCAGCTTCTAAATTCCAGGCATTTAATGTTAAAGCTTTATTAAAAGTGGCTTTGGGTTGAAGGCTGCAAATGTGGTTCATTGTTTTCAAGACAAGCCACCAATAAGTAGATGGTGTAGCCTTTGTGCCCCCAATCGGCAGGCTGCTCTTCCATGATTTCCAAAGGCTTAACGTTCTGTGCAGACACAACTAAACACTGACCTGTTTTGGAAATCGTAAGACTGTCTGCTATTAAGAGAAAGGGGGGGTGGAGAAGTTCTGTCTATTTCCAAGCACCTGTGCAGATCTTCAGAACTGGTGGTACCCAAACACAGACATCTGCCTCAAACTTAAATACTCAGTTGTCATTCTGCCCCATCCTCCAGCAAGTGAGCGCATACATTTCTCTTAACACAAACAAGCACGGTGCTGCAGACATGCACAATATTAAGGATGGTTTTTGGCCAATCCCCTTGCATATCGTCTACTGCAGGCCAGGAATGGAAGGACTGTTTTGTGAGTGCCCTCTTTTAGGGATCCCCTTGCCCTTCCTTGAAGGGTTTTGGTACAAATTTCACACACAACTCTCCACTAAGTGGTGTAAATGTTTCCACCTTTTAGAAAACACGATACAAACTGGCAACATAGTATCAATGCCGCCCCCCCCGCCCCTCCCCTGTCCCCCACTTTCCTGCAATGAAAAATGGGAGGTTTGAGACTGTCGCTGTTTGGATTATTTGGGCAATCTCTTCTTTCAAAAAGCAAGTAATTTACAGTCGATTGTACAGTCAATTTATAAAATTGTTTTTTTGTAACTTTGTAGCATCTTAGGTCATGTGTTTGTATTTGTGTAGAATGACTATATTGAATAAACCTATAGGGTTTAGATTAAAGAATATGCATTGGTTCCTTCCCTGTACATTGTATATTGAGGCAGCAAATAAAAGCGCTCCTTTTATTTTAAATTTGAAGATTTAATCCTGGAAAGGATGAGATTTGTCTTACTGGCAGTTGGCTGATCAAGAGGAACAGTAGTGGAGTTACATTGAGCCTGATGACAGTGATTACGTCATAAGGCCAGTATATTCACACAGTGAAAATAAAGGAAGTGCAACTTGCAATATGTTTTCTTCCCTTCTACTCCCTTGCTGTTTCAGCTACAGGCTGGAGGACTTGAGCAGCAATTCCTCCAGAGGGAGTTGTACCAGAGGGCGTGGCCCATGGGTGCTAGTTTCAAAGGAGGCTGATACCACTCTTACATTTGTTACTGTGGGTCAGTCTAGTGAGACCCATATTCCTCTCACTCGCTGAAGTAATCAGAATTCTTACCTCTTTTGAAAATAACTTCACATCCCTCCGCATCCTGCCAAGGCAGAAGTGAGACACAACCAGTGGGGCAGTGTAGGAGGGAACAGAGCTGAGAGGCCAGTGTCTTTGCATGAAACCCTAAATTCACAAGAAATGAGCCAAACAACGTATGGCTGACGGTCCCTTTCTAGGAGAGTGAGATCTGCGGCTGCTCTGGAGTAACGCCAATATGGGAGAGTCCTGTACCTGATGCTGGGTGATGGCCTGCTCCAAGGCACTGCATTATGAGAGCAGTGGAAAGAGGCAGGAAGAGACCGCACTAGGAAATCCAGGAACTCCCTCCGGCCCTGACCAAGTGCCAACAAGCAAGTGTGCTGCTGGCAATCCAGCCCTGGTATTACAAACCATCCGCATAAGGCATGTGCACGTACAACCCCTGGTCAGAATGTTTCCTCTATGGGTCCTGGCCTCTGTTATCCTGGGGGATTCTGAGCCTGCAGAAAACCTCTCTCTTTTTCCCCCCACCCTCCGTTCCTACGCTTCACTGCGAAAACAGCAGGCAAGCAAAGGAAAGCTGCATGGGTGTAATTTATTGGAGGATGAGCTTCCCCCTTCAGACAGACAGGCTTGGGGGCATATGGGATGATGTGCCGCTGCCCCCCATCCCCACGTCTGCAAGCCCAAAACGTGCTAACTGAAGGGGGCTACTGCTTGGGTCTAGTGCCTGTAGCTAAAGGCCACTTCGTGGGTTCTAGTGCTTCCTGTTCTTTCCTGTTTCCGTGCAGCAGTGTGTGTCTGCGGGGTGAGGGGGAGGGGAGGGGAGGGAGCAGAAAAGGGGATGCAGGAGTGGGAGCCTGGCCTGCAGCACCCTCTCAGCAGGTGGGGCTCCCCCAGGTAAGCAGGCCCATCAACCCCTCCCCTTGACGAGCACAAACAGGCAGACTTGCATGACATTAAAGATGGGTTCTGGCCATTCCTCTGCATGTGAGAGACAGGCCAGGAATGGAAGGACTTTTGTAGCTGCGCTCCTATCCCCTGGCCCCCTCCAGGGAGCCCCATAAGGCCCAATGCCCTGATCTGGAAGGAGCTGCAAATGGATCCAGCCACCCCACCTCATCAAGCCCCATTCCCCTAGCCGGGCCTGCTGACGGAGGGCAAAGGAGGCAAATGCCCCAGGGCCTGGCAATTCTAAAGGGCTCTGGCACCCGGCTGTCAGTGAGAATGCCCAGAGCCGCAGGCCCTGTCAATCACAGCTAGAGCGCTGCATGGCACGCTCCTGGCGGCTCTAAGGACCGGGGAGGGAGGAGGGGGCTGGGCATCATTGAGGGTTGTGAGGGGGCTGCCCTGGCCCTGTCCCTTCCACCGAAGGCCCTACCCCTTTTGGGAGTGTGGAGTCGAGTCAACTTCTTCCCCTGCACTGTGCTCAGGGGCCCAGTGTGGCTGTCAGCTCCCCCGCCCCAAGCCTCTGGAATGCACTTATTGAGCTCCGCCACACTCAGACCCCACCTCTCCATCCTCCATCCAGATCCCCTGCAGAGTCCCATTGTCCCTGCACCCCAAGCCAGATCCCCACCGCGCTGCCTGATGGGGAGCTTGTGATTTGGAGGGGGGCTCTGGGTGATTGGGTGCTTTGGAGGGGGCTATGGGGTTCTGGGTGA